AAACAATGGGAGAGTCATACACACATAGAAACACACAGTTGCGAACATGCAGGTGATACACGCACGCTTGCATACACGTACACACATACACACATGCACGCACACGCTTGCATACACGCACACTTACATACACACATACAAACATGCAAACACATATATGTACACACGCACCGTCGTCGCAATAGGTCATGGCAATGTCGTCGCTGAACGAAATGTTGAAGACGCGGCGAATACGACGTGTCATATCATCCAAGGACTCGTCTGGGTTTGGCACAGGCAGGCGGCGGATCTCGTCCTGCCAGTACACCTTCAGCACAAGCTCATGGCGCTGCATCTCTCGTCGGTGTAGATGGGGGTTGTGTGGCTGGTTGTCGGTTGATGATGAGGGAAGTGGATGTGTGTGGCGTTTGATGTGAGTCAGCAGATTTTCGATTGCGGCAAACTGGAGGAGGATGGCGGCTTTTATGGGGACTGAGGTGGGTGAACTCGAGGTGGGTTCTTGGGTTTGGGTTGTGTGTGTGTCGGTGTGTGTTCCTGTGTTCGTGTGGTCGTGTTTGTGTCTGTGCCCTCTATGCCTCTGTGTGTGCGTCCGTGTGATGACTATGTCTGAAATAAGGCCAGTTCCTTCGGTTGGTGGACTGGCTGAAAGTGATGCCAGTGTGTTGAAACTGGCAGAGTTAGCCTGCTGTCCTGCTGTCGTGTCGTAGCTCCCCTCCTCAACTACCAAAAGGCGGCTACTCTCGTGCTCTAGCTCTATCAACTTGAAAGTGCTGAGGAGTTACGTGTAAGAGCACTCGACCACTGAGACTGATCTCTCTGAGAATGCGAAGCAAAGGGGAAGTTGGAGGAAGAGACAACGTAGACGATAGACTTAAGAAGGAAGTTGAGACTATGGGAGAGGGCCGTTCGAGAGCTCGATGCCACGGATGCTAGAGCTGGGACTCCGGGAGGCTTGCCCTTGCCCCCGCCCGTTTAGGTGTTCTTCTTCTGTTCCATTATTCTTATGTCGCGACCTGCTCTCAATAGTTTCTGTGGTCCTTCTGGTCTCGCTTGCAGGAGGATGAGCGTCCCCGTACAAGCAAGAAAATGGCGTTGTTCTCTTTGGATCAAGATGAGGAGAAGGCCCATCCCTTTGCCACCGACTCAGTCGTTGATGGTCTGGCTTACCAGGTCCCTGCAATTGGCGACTTTGCCAGGTTGCATGAGCAACAGGGAGGGCTTCAGCTTAACGAGCGACAACCGCCAACAGGCCAGGTGTATGAAGTTGTGGAAAGTGTCACGGATTCTCGCCATGACCCAAGTCATCTGCATGAAACTCGTGTTGAGCGCACGTATCTTGAACCGCACGTTGAGCGCACGTATCTTGAACCGCACGTTGAGCGAACATATCTTGAGCCTTACCCGCTTCCCACTCGGGGGGCGGAACAACCAACACGGAGACAGCTCTGTGCGCAGAACCCCACGTACGAAACTGTGTTCGATGTGCGGACGGCGCGAGCTGTGAGCTCCGCAGAGTTCGTCTCACCCCAACGAAAACGCCCATTTGCATGGAACAATCGCACGGGCCAGGTTCCCGTGTCGTCGAGGAGATGCAATCGAACGCAGGCGTTCCTTCTTCTCACAACTTTGCTCCTAACGGCCGTGGTTGCGATCACGATCCCGATTGTTTTGCTTGGAAATCCTGGACACCCTTCGTCCCAGGCGAGCAATATGTCCAATGGAAACGAAACTGAGGCAAACATGTCGACCACCTTAGCAAGAATGATACCAATCTCGACAGCAACGACAATCGCCGCTCGAACATCACCATCATCATCATTATCAGCAACAACAACAACAACAACACCACCACCACCACCAACAACAACAACTACTACGACTACGACTACGACGACGACGACGACAACAACAACAACAACAACAACAACAACAACAACAACAACAACAACAACAACAATAACAACGACGACGACAACAACGACGATGACGACGACGTGTCCTTCTTCTCTGTGTAAAAATGGCGGCACTTGTATTGTTGAGGCTGGCGAACCTGTGTGCGACTGCCCACGTGTTACGATTGGCTCAACTGACTTCTGCTATGAAAACTTTGACTGCACGAGTCTTCAGCCGTGCATGATGCGCTGACTACTGACTTGAATCACATCACTACATCACACCCTATCCCGAGCTCCCGAGCGTACGCCTCTGCGCAACATGCCTCAATCCTCGCTCAAGCGCTCATGCATTCCTGTCCTGTTCATTTCAGTTTCATCATTCCCCAAAAAAACAACATACAAAACAACAACAAACAAACAACAGCAAAGACACAAGCAAGACAAAGAGCAAGAAGGAAGACGAGATGCGTGTCGCGTTTGTCACTGGCGGCACCCGAGGCATCGGCCGTGCCATCGTTAAGGTGCAGCTGTGGTGTGCTGTGTGTGTGTGTCTGTCTGTGTGTGTGTGTGTGTGTGTGTGTGTGTGTGTGTGTGTGTGTGTGTGTGTGTGTGTGTGTGTGTGTGTGTGTGTGTGTGTGTGTGTGTGTGTGTGTGTGTGT